GTGGCCATCAGCCCCTGGTATTCCAGGGGGGGATTTTTCCTGGATTTGGGGGTTTCCCGCCAGGCAAGGAGGGGCCACGGTGTTGGGGGAGGGGGGGGGGGGGGGGGTGACAGCTATCGCGGGCATATTAGTTTCCACAATCCCACCAACAGCACAATGTCTTACCTCGAGAAGTGCGGCCAGAAAGTGAGAGTACCAAGATGCGGAGGTGGCTGTTACAAAAATGGACACGTATGTCCTCAAACGTCTGTAGAGGATCATCATTCACTACTTTGTCGCAGAATCAAGGACTGAATGATATCGCCTGCAGCGCGTCCTCGTTGGGCGTGGCTGCGCGTGCGCTGCCTGTATTTTTGGCGTGGTACATGCACAACAGAATGGTATACAACAACACGCGAGCGTTTCCCTGTAAGATGTGGCCGTGCGCTTTCGCGATCGCATGAGCGTGTTCGGCGATTCTTCTCTCGCGCCTTGTAGCACCCCCACTCGCGATTGTGGTCCTCCTCCAGCTGCTCGTCGTGTGCACTGCCTGCCGTGTTCATTACTCTGCAGGTCGGTCTTAAGCGCGTGATGTGCGTACATATCCCCTCAAATCCCTGCGTTTTTCGTTATTTTGATGAAACAAATAACCGTGTGTTGTCTCTCGTTCAGCTCGGCCGTTAATGCACCATGTACTTCTAATTTTCGTTTTTTGTTGGTAGATGAAAGAAGCGTTCTCAAAGCAGCTGGCGAACGAGGACTACCAACGGTTTCTCGCTAAGGTTCCGAGGGTCGAGGGCGTCTGGGACGACCACGACTACGGGGGTGAGTGAGCGAGCGAGCACGCAAGTCGAAGCGAAATGGTCGTTCATCCCTGTCCCGCCTTTGTAGAAATTTTACATGCAGTCACTGAAAGACCGCCCGTCGGAGATAGTACCACAGCAGTCGAAAAGAGGGTGTGTGTGAAATCTTTGAAGTAAGTGGGGAAGAAAGCCAGCTTGATACCGGGCTTACTCTTTAAGTCTGTTCAAAGCCTAGATATTCATCAGTGATGCGGTGTTTGTTGCTTCTAAATTTACGAATGCAGTGTCTTGTGAAATCGGCGCCACCGTGGCGATGGATCTTCCCGCACGTCTTGTACGAGAGAATTTAGGCTGTACAATATGCGGTCTCTACTGACGTGTGAAGAATGGTAGTACTTGTAGATGGGAACGACAACCAGCAACAAGCAACACCGTCATGCACGATAGATAGTCATTTGCGATGTAGAAAAGTACGATAGTCATATGCATACGCCAAAAGAGAAGAAAAAAAAGTCGCAGGGGGGCGCGGTGGATGAGACCGGGCAGGCACAATCGGTTGGGGAAAGTCGCTCTGGGGTCACCTCAACGAGTTGTGACGTGTTTGATTGGGTCTTACATCGATTTCATATTCTTTCAAAGTGTGTAAATCGATCATCGACAACTATGCACCGACACATCACGTCCGGCCTGTTTCTTGTGCACGTGCGCGCACTAACCCCCACCCACGTTTTCTTTGTTTCGATTTATCTATATATGTAAAATATACTTGTATCTTTTAGTCAACGACGCCGGGAAGGAGCTGTCCGATCACCCCGGCAGGGTTTCGGCGTTCCTGGACTTTTTGGGGGTGGGGGACGACGATCCCCGGCGGGGCGGAAGCACGCTCTACTCCTCGCACACGTTCGGAGAGGCTCCGAAAAAGGTGTGTTTCGGAACTTCGTGCCCCCCCGCCTCTCCTATTCTTTTGCAACGTGATTCTTGGGTCCGCCCTGTACTTATACCCGA